TTTAAACTAACCCTTCTACACATATTGAACATTTTTTCTGAAATTACATAAATTACTGAATAATCAATTAATAATTAAATAATACAATATAAAATTAAATCAAACTCACACATAATCATCCTTAAATCTAAAATCTCATAGTTCTAGAACCTCTTCTTTTTCACTAAACTAAGGCTTCATTGGCTATATATAGCACATTTTATATGTGTTATTGTTGAAAGAATCTAATAAAACTAACCCTTGTGCATATAGCACAAGTTTATATTTTATACACTATTAATGTATAAATTTTATATATTATCAATTAATAAAACTTACATTTTTTATAAAGTGTCTCTACTTTGGTCCGCCAAAATCAACATAATAATCAAGTTAAACTCCTTTTTTTTTCCAACTATAAAATTATTGAACAAAAAATTATAATCTATCAAGATTCCAAATTTCTTTTACATATAATTTAAAACTTTGAATTGTTATTTTATACACATGGAGGATAGAATTAAAAACTTTTTAGATGCATGTTAAAGTTTAGTACATACTATGTCGATTTTTAATTATTTTCAAGTTGATTCATTTTTTTCTGTTATATTAGAGTTTATTTAGACTAGGTAAAATCAAGGCTATTAAAGGATTTTTAAGAGAACATCATGATGCATTTAGAAGTAGATACTAGTCTATTTTTTAGGAGGTAATCGTGGTCATTGATAGCTTATATTTGTCAGCTGTTCAACTTATAAATTGTATTCTGTTCATGAATAAACTTGCACCATTCTTTATTCTCACATTCTACAGATTTTTTTTATTTCATGGTATCAAAGCCAATCTTGTCGGCTAGCGAATAATTTGTCTTTTCTTATCTATCTAGTGAGGAAATGTTTCACTTATTGGACAAAAACAAAGTTTTATAGGTTTTTAGTTGTTGAAACCGATGTGAGTGGATTTGGCTCCTCATAGAATGACATGGAGAAACTTGTAGGTATCAATTACAAGTATTGGTGGATGTGTATGGAAGCTTTTCTTCAAGGACAAAACTTATGGGATTTAATGGTTAGGGCTGACAAACTTCCAATTGATACTTCAAAAAATGATGAAGCAAGAAAGAAGTGGAAGATCAAGTGTGAAAAGGCCTTGTTTGCATTAAAAACGTCGATCAGCAAGCAACTCATTGATCACGTTCATGATATTAAATTGCCAAAAGAAGTCTGAGACACTCATGAAGCCTTTTTCGTGAAGAAGGATACAATAAGATTGCAGTTTCTAAAAAATGAACTAGCTATCTTCATTATATGTCTATTTTTGAATATTTCTTAAAAGTTGAGAATGCGTGTGCTATAATTTCAAAGTTAGATGAGAAAATTGAGGAACCACGATTGAAGAGATATCTCATTCGAGGAATTAGAACAGAATATATGTCGTTCATCACATCGATGCAAAGGTAGGCAAACCAGCCAAACATTGTCGAGTTTGAAAATTTGCTGAGTAATCAAAAGGCCTTAGCAAAATAGATGGGTAAAACTACCATAGCAGAAATCAATGAAGTTCTCTACAAAAGAGAAAGGACAAAACCGAAATGGTCTTACCAATAACAACATAAATGGTTCATCTATCAACAATAACAAAAAAAAAAAGTGTTACAGATGTGAGAAACTTGGCCATATCAAGAAAGATTGTTGTGTGAAGCTTGAAAATGGGAACTTGAGCATTGAAAGAAACAGAAAGCAAGATTCTTCGACTACAGAATGAAAGATGTGTTTTTTGAATAAGGTGGTTAAAAGAAGTGTCGATGAAAATACGTTAATTGACTACCCCAATGATTTGATCTTCGACTCTAACTGCAGTCACCCTCTTATCGAAGATAACTGATTACTTTCCAATGCTTACCATCATGATAAGATAAAGGTGGTTGTCATGGCAGATATTTTGTTCACCCAATGGAAAAGGAAGGTAGTGTCAATGTTAAGGTAACCCATTCTGAAAACAATATCAATGTTGTCTTGAAAAGTGTTTATCACGTTCCTGGAGTTAAGGAAATTTAATTACAGTTTCACAAATTACTGATTCAAGAAAGCATGTGTTGGTAGTTTAGAATGTGGTGTATCCTACATTGAGAAGAAAGATCACTTATAAATGGTTTAAAAGAAATTACTTATATTATTTAAGTAATTGAATTAAGTGTTAGAGTGGGCCAAGTCATTTGGGCTTGCTAAGAGTTTTCCTAGTGGGTTAGACAATTTTAAAAGCCAAAGATGGGCACTTGGACTTGTTTGGTAAATAGATTTAATTTTTAAATCTTTATTATTTTTTTTATTTCGAAATATTATTGATTCCGAATAAATATACTTGAATAGTAAAAGATATAATTGTTTAAATAAAGTTTATTTAAACAATAAAATATGACTATACAAAATGTCATGACTTTTTGAATTGGTTTGATTAATGACAGTTCATTTATTATAAATAGATCTTTCTGCCTGACCAATTTCACTATTTCTGATTTAGAGAGTTTTAAGACTTTGTTATATCCTATAGGCATAATTGCATTTAAGACAGTGTTATTCACGTCTCAAAGCCATATTTTCTTTCTTTCTTACTATTTCTGTTTGTTCTTAAATCTACTAACAGCATGTTTTTTTAGGACCTAATGATGTGAACGTGCTAGGAAATGTCAAGGCAATTATTAGTGATGTCATCTACATCGTAAATAGAAAACCTAACTTGTTTGTATTGTCTACACCTGAAGCCTATGCAAAAAAGACTAGTCGAAACAATAATACAGCTATTTGGCATGCAAGATTAGGCTACGCTAGATATTAGTAGATGAAGGAAATCAAGTTTAAGCAGATGGTTGATGGTGTTCCAATTCTCAAAAGCATACCTCTAGACTTAGTTTGTCAAAGATGTCAGTTTGGCAAATCCCAACAATTGCCTTTCAAGAGATTGGAGAACCAAATATCAAGACCTCTTAAATTGGTTCATTTGGACTCAATAGGACCAACCGGAAAACCAAGTTACAGTAATTATCGCTATATAATGATCGTTGTTGATGATTTTTCCTAGTTTGCTTGGGTGTATTTTCTGAGGCAAAAGAATGAGGCCTTCAACAAGTTTCTTGACTTCAAGAAGCAAGTTGAGTAGGAACTTAATTCTAAGATCAAGTGCTTAAGAACAAACAATGGGCATGGAATAGACTTTCTCAAGTTTTGTGAAAACAATGGGATTCAAGGTAGATGACATGTCAAAAAACTCTTTAGCAAAATAAGGTTGCTAAAAGGAAACTTATGCATCTCTCGAAGACGAGTTTGTCATGGATACATGATAAAAATCTTCCTCGACAATTGTGGGCTAAAGCTATGAAGTGCTCATGTCATATAGTGAATCGTTTACCATTGTGGCAAGGTAACCAATCTCTCTTTGAGCTTTTATATGATAAGAAGCCAAATGTGAGTTACTTGCAAGTTTTTGGTTCTGTTTGTTATGTTCACATTCCAAAAAATAACATAACAAAATTGGATCCAAAAGCAAGGTGTATTTTTATTGGTGATGATGAGCATTGAAAGGGTTGGAGGTGTATGGATCCAGAAACCAAGAAGTTGACTACCTCTCGAGATGTGGTCTTTGATTAAGTTTCACTTTACTTTAGAACTTCAGAAAAGACTGAGTTAAACGTCAAAGTTGATGACATTGCAAAGCTAAAACCAAGCCTACATGATGACTTTCTCAATTATAAAGAGTTGGAAGAGTCTGAAGAAAAGGAGAGCAGTGAAAAAAAAGCTACAACAACAAATTAGAAAGCCAACAACAGGAATAACAAAAGAGATGATTAGATTTTCCCATCACCACGATGATCTAGCTGAGAAAAAAGACAACCAACTTGGTAAAAAGACTATTAATCCTAGCGAATGAGTCTACTATAACCTAATGCTTTTTTGTAGGTCCAATTGGCTCTCGTGAACCTTCATACTTTAAAGAAGCTAGAGGGCACCCAAGATGGGAAGTGGCAATGCGAAAGGAAATTTCAGCACTCATGAAAAACAATGATTGGGAGCTGGTGCCCAAGCCTAAGGATATTGAACCAGTAATATACAAATGGGTTTACAAGTTGAAGAAGAAAGTGGATGGATCGATGGATTGATACAAAGCACAGTTAATTGCTTAAGGTTTCTCACAAGATTATGGAATGGATTATGAAGAGACTTTTAGTCCAGTTGCCAAGATGACATCTATCAGAACTCTCATCTCCTTAGCGGCCCATATAGAGTGGAATTTGTGGCAACTTGATGTCAAAAATGCATTTCTCTATGGATAATTAGATAGAGAAGTGTTTATGAATTGACCACACAATTTTGTCTCTTAAAGAATTTCCTCACCATGTTTGCTGACTTAAGAAAGCTTTATACGACCTCAAGCAAGCTCCACGTGCATGGTATGAAAAAATCTCTAAATATTTAATTTTTTTTGTGGATTCAAAGTTTTTGATTCCAATTCAAATATGTTTGTCAAGAAAATTTTGGGATGCATTTGTTGGTTCTTTTATTGGTTGATGACGTGATTATTATTGGAGACAATTATGTTGAAATCAAGACTTTATGTGATGACTTAGCAACTCGATTTTAGATGAAGAACCTGGGAAAAGTTAGATATTTTCTTGGATTGGAGATTGAAGAAATGGAAGGTGGTTTATTCTTATCTCAAAAAAGAAATGGTCAAACCTTATTGGAATGTTTTTCAATGAAATATGCAAAGCCAAAAGGGACTTCTGTGGAACCATATGTCCAGTTAAAAAAGATGAAGGAAACTCAATGGTGGACATGTGCAAGTTTCACCAACTTCTTGGTAGTTTGATTTATTTAGCTATAACAAGACTGGATTTGTCATTTTCTGTAGGTGTTATCTTTTAGTTAATAAACTCAAGGTGAAAAACACTTTTGAGTTTAGGTTACAATACATAAAGAATGAAAACTTTATGTTAAGTGGCTTCATGGATTCTGATTAGGCAAGTAATGTCGAAGATAGAAGATCAACAACTGGCTACTATTTTTGATATGGGATCAAGTGCAATTTCGTGGCGTAGCAAGAAGTATGCAAACATGGGTTTGTCTAGTATCGAAGCAAAGTATCGTGTTGCAATAATGGCTGCACCAGAAGGAGTTTGGTTGAAATAATTGATAACTGACATTTACAGAATGTTGAGTATCCCATTACTTTGAGGTGTGACAATTAAACTATTATAATGTATAGATCCATGGATCTATCACTAAATATGAATTAAAAGAATCGTTATTATTTTTTTTTATTTAGGTGTAATTGATCATCTAACTGAATCTGTCATATTTTAAAGAAAAATCCTAAACTTGACTTAGATATCTTTAAACAATAGATTCTAATTTATTAAATTAGATTTAAATTTGAGAGTACAGTTACGGGTGAAAAAAATTATAGCACTATCACAATGTCTATCCAAAATATGGTATCAATTTGATTTCAAGTTGTCCAAGCCTTAAAATATTTTGTATAATTTAGCCAAATAATTTAATTACTACAATAGTTTGGTAGTAATTTAAGATAATTTTCTCACTTTATGAGCATTTACAAAGACTAATATCTCACCTTAAAGAGGCTCTTTTGTCAGATTCGTTTAAAATTTTTTTTTGTGACAATAATTTATTTTCAAAAATATATTCCAATATGTTGCTAAAATTTTCTATCAAAGATTATACTTCAATATATTAGCAATATTTTTGTTGGCGAAAATAATTTATTTTTAAAAATATCTTCTAATAAGTTGTAAGATTTTTCATAAAAAATTATATTCCAACATGTTGATAGAATTTAAAAATATTTTTTCAAAAAAATTAATTAAGTCCTCCAATAATTTGGTAAAATTTAATTCAATATTTAAATCCTTCAATAATTTAGTAGGATTGAAAAATATTTTTTAAATATTTTTTAATATAAAAATAAATTAAGATAAACAAAAATTATTATGCAAATAATATAATACAATAATAATATAATATATCATGCAATAATAATAAACTATCATATAATAATATTAATTATCATGCAATTATACAAAATATATTAATAGATCATACAATAAATATGAAAACATGCAATTAGATATTAAAAAAATACAAATATATTAAACTCATGTTAAAATAAATACTAAAAAAATAAATTTATAAAAAAATCATGCAAAAATAAACTATTTTCTCTCTTTTTCTTTTCTCACCACATTAATTCAAACAACCATCTAAATAATAAAAATAATTTATAATTTATAAAAATAATATATAAAAAACAAAACTGAAAAATAAAAAATCAAACCAAAAAATAAACAAAAAAGGACAAACTTATGAAATGGGCGAGTTGTCAATCGAATCTACGCGTAAGTCAACCGAGTCAGTACACGAGTCCAAGCTTCTCCAAAACGATGCCATATTACTCACGTATAAAAGATCAAGTTTTGGTTCTTTTCTCAGATTGCCTTAGCCTCTTTCTTTCTCTAACTGATATTCCTCTGCCTTCTCTTTAAGAACTCAACCTGAAAACTTAAACTACCCCCAGTTTCTAGCCAAATATGCAGATTTTGGCGTCAAAAAATTCAACTGATCGCCAATAACTTTAAACCTTTTTAGAAAAACCAATAAATCTAGAAAATGACCACTGTGGACTTTTCGGCCACCTCAAAAACCACCAGAAATTCAAATACCCAACCAAAAAATTCAATAAGAACCCAGTATAAACCTAAAAAACCCAAATTTCAAATCCAACCTAGAAAAAACCCTAGAATTCATTCAAAACTTCAAAAATTCCTAGAAATTTCCAAAAATTCAAGCATGAATTCTAAAAGCCCAAAAATCAAATCCAACAACTCTGAGACTTCCAAACCCATAAATCAAAACATCAAACTCAAAAAATCCAATAAGATCCCAAAATAGAAAATCTCAACACCAACTCTTAAATTCCAAACAAATCCCAAGAAACCTCAAACTCAAAATAATACCCAAAATTCCTTAGAAAATCAATCTAGAACCGAGACTAAAAAATCAAAATCCAAAATCTAGAAATCAAATTAAAAGTTTCCAGAACTTAAAACTAAATCCCTGAAAAACATGATTGCCCCGTTTGTGTCATCTTTTCTTTGTGGTTGATTTTGTTCTCATAGGGATTGAATCTCTTTATATTTTGGAACCTAAATCAATTCAATCAAATTTTTTGTGATTTGATTTTGTAATGTGTGATTTGGTTTGATTGAATACCAGAATAAATCCATAGTTTCCTGTTTCTGATTTTTCTCTTTTTTTGTTGGCTTTGACTTTTTTTTAAAGCCAAATAAATAACAAAATTAAAATGAAAACTAAATCTAAAAAAAATCAAAATAAAAAAAAAAGAAAAATTTTTTTCCTTTTATTTTATTTCGCCCAACACTTCTTAATCGGGTCCATTTTATAATCGAACACCCGTTTTCAATTCTAAAAATATTTTCAAATAAAATAGAGTCTCTACACAAAGTGCAATCAAGTTAGCATCAAATCTAGTATTTCATGCTCAAACAAAGCTCATAGAGGTTTAACATATTATTTCATTCGAGAGAAAGTTCCTGAGCAAGAGTTTGAGTAGAAAATTATTGGAACAAGTGATCGATGTCTTCACCAAAGCACTCACAAAGCCAAAGTTAGAGCTCTTTGGTGAAGCTCTTGGTTTAATAAATCGAAAGCATACATAAAGAGGAGTGTTAAAGTTTAGTGCATATTATGTCATTTTTTTCAATTACGTTTGAATTGATGCATTTATTTCTATTGGAGTAGAGTCCATTTAGACTTGGTCAAATTAAGGCTGTTAGAGATTTTTTAAAAGGACATCATGATCCACTAAGAGTATAAACTAATCTATTTTCTATGAGGAAATTATTGTCATGGATAGTTGATATTTCTCAACTGTTCAGCTTATAAATTGTACTCTCTATTCATGAATAAACTGGCAGCATTCTTTGTTAGTACAAAGGTTTTTTTTTTTTTGTTTGTTTGTTTGTTTGTTTCAATGTCACTTTACAATAAATAGAAGAATCACCCTAAACCCTAAACCAAATCCCTAAAAAAAAAAAAAAAAACACTGCCAAATTTTGGTTTGCTAAGTTTATTATGGTTGTGTTTTGCTTCTATTCTTTCTTTAATACTTGTTGTTGACTATTTTTTGTTTATTGGATTGTCTCTCCTAAAAAATGTGGCTATGTTGAGAGTCTGTGTTGCTTGATATCCCTTCTCTGAATTGTCTGTTCTAATGAGGCTAATTGTCTGTTTAAATAGAGAAATTTACCTAGATTATGATAAGAGACCAGATTAAAATGGGATTTAACTTTAAATTAAATTTTCATTATCTTCGTAAAGATAATCCCAAAATTTCATATTCAAAAGAGTTTAATCTAATCCTAATTTTTCAAAAAGCAACTTCATAAATTATCCCCAGGTTATCCAAAATTTCTATTTGGTTTTTTTTTTTTTTCTATATTCTATATTTTTATTTTTATTTTATCATTAAACAAAATGAAAGAAATGAAAAAAAAAAAGTAAAATAAAAATAAAAAAGAAAGAAAGCCTAAAATTGGACTTTTAAAAGCCAATTTTGTTCAGAAATAAAAATAAAAAAGAAAGAAAGCCTAAGTGTCTCTTTGTAAAAATTCAGTAGTTTTTTAAATTAAAAGCTTCTGAATAAAATTGGATGTTTATAATTTCTATTAACTCAATTTTCCCAAACCAATTAACAAGACCTTAGTGTCACGTTAGACACACTTAAAAAGTAAGTAGGATGTATTAATTTCATATCAAATTAAACAAAAAAAAAAGGATTATTGGGCATATAAGTATTAGAGCAATACATCTTAATAAATCAAATTTGCAGAAAGTGTAATGACTCCGTGAACACAAATAAAAACCTCTAAATGTGGTGTGACATGTATATGCAAATACTCTATCTCTCTCTCCCTCTCTCTCTCTCTCTCTATATATATATATATATAGAGAGAGAGAGAGATTAAATTATGATCATTTAAAAATTAAAATTCAATACTTTATCTATAAACTATACAATTTTTAATAAAATGTTAAGCATTTAATGTAATACATAATTACTTAAAATTAAAAAATTATTCTATAAACAAATTACAGGATTGTCAACAAATGTTAAGTTTTTAATCAAATTCATATAAGGTAAAACTATTACTAGTTCAAACTTAAATGTTGAGACAAAAAAAAAATTTTTTTTTGGTTAGAAAAAGGAAAATTAGAATAAAGTACCTTGATTTTTTGGCCCGAATCAAGTTCTTTAAGTTAAAAGGATATTTGCACTTATAAGCAAACATTTGATTATGCATAAATGTATAAATGATATATTAGTACTCGTAAATTATTTATGTTCAATTCAAATAAAATTCAAATTCAGTTCAATTATTATCGAATTGAGCTCGAGTAACTTGATTTATCGATCAAGTTGAATTTGAGTATTTTTATACCTTACTCTAGTTATTCATGAGCTTAATCGAATTTTTATATTTTAATATATTTTAATTGATAAAATATCTCGAACTCGAATTCGATCGAATATAAATAATCGAGCTTTTGTATAATATAAAAATCTAGTTTATTTTTATATGTTAATAAAGATTAATCAAATGAGTTCGAGTAATTCGATTTTTATCTCAAGTCGAACTCGAACTAAAAAAAAAAAAAAATTCGATCGAGTTCGAACTGAATTTCGAATCTCAAATTTAGAGTTGAGTTTAAATTCAAATTTGATATTATATCAACTCGAACTCGTTTAATTACATCTTTAATCGTGCATATTATCGGACAATTTTGACATTAGGTTAATGTACATAGATGGCAAATTTGTTATTTTCTCATATATTTTAGGGGCAGTAAGGAATGAAATTATTCCAATTTGCACCCGTTTTAGGGCACAAAATCGTGGAGGGTTGGTCAACGAAGGCTGATCGTGGAGCCCATCAACTCTAATGATCAAACGATCTATAATTACTCATCTGATCTGGGGCACAACAGATAATTAAATTTATTTCCACCAGATGCGGAGACCCTTTTTATTGTCAATTCGAGGGACTCACTTTCCCCCGACTTTCCGACACGTGCTCTTGTCGTTTTTGTGAGGATGCGTAGCCTGGTCCAACATTCTTATCCCCTAAAATTAACGGCTGATATTTCTTGCATGAATTTGCTTAATTTTATATTTATCGTTAGATTTGAAGAAGGAGAAGCACTCTTGAGGGGTTGGCAATTGTTGTTTCGACTTTACATAAGAAAAAGAAGTAAATTAATAATTGTTATTTATTTATTTAATTAATAATAAATCATAATTTAAGTAATAAGAATGGGACGTTAACAATTCATTAATGCAGAGACGGATGAGGATTTTTTATCAGGGGCAAATATTTTAATTTAATTTATTAATTTTATTAAAAGATAAATCAAATAAAAAATTTCAAACAAATTAACATGTATAACATTTTTTTTATAAAAATAATTTTTTATTTCATAGATACAATATTTGTATGAGTAAAATTAATTACATGATTATTGATGAATATAGCTTAAAATATTATTATATCATAGATAAATTATTTTTTGACAAACATACATATAGACATATAGACATATAAATTTGTATATACACATATTTATTTAATAAAATTTTACCTATAAAATTTTTAAATATAAATATAATATGAGAAAGAATAAAAATCAATCTTTTTAGTTTTATCATTTACTTTCATTTCTTATTTATTATAATATCAAGAATAGCAAATTCTTATTTTCTTATATACAATGAAAATAATTTGTTTATATACAATGAAAACAAAAACTAAAACGTAACTATGCTAGTTAAATATTATTTTTTATTCTTATTAATTCACATTTTATATGTTATCTATATAAACTCTAAAAGTTCTTTATTTATTTTTCTTTAAAATTAATGTATTATATTATAATGAAATTGCTTATCATCCAAAATATATTTATTCAATTACTAGATAAATAATAAAATATTTTCTTTCATAATCCTCAATTTAATAGGAAAAAATATGCTGAAAAAATTTTTTAGTGGGGGTAAAATTTGAAATTTTGAAAATTTATGAGATTTTTTCTATAATAAATCTAAAAAATTTTAAAATCCTAGACGGAGCAGCAGCCCCAAAGCTCCTTATCTAGATCCGTACCTGCATTAATGTGTGTTAAGCGTATTTTTAGCACCATCATTCCCTACAAACTAATGTATAGAGTTCATTGGCTAAAATACTAAAAATATTCAAATCTATATATTAATTTTGTAGATAATTAAAGAAGAAGAGAGTCCTCACGTAGCACTTATTTTTTTTTATTTTAAACCATTTTTTTAAATTTTTTTGTTTTTAATTTAATTTAATTTTATATTTAATCTATTTTATATATTTTTTTAATTTTATTTTTTATTAAATAAATTTTATAAAAAAAGTTAATAGAGATAAAAATAATAAAACAATATGTATTTGATTAGTAACGATTCGTTTCTAGTGTGTTTTTAAAAAAAGTCAAGATCCAATTGAGGGTTTTTTTTTTTTTTTTCCAAAAGAGATTGGGTTGGAGATAGATTTAAATATTTTATCTCTTCTTTAGTGTCCACATTGGCACCTCTATTTTTTTATTTTTTAAAGCTTTTGATTTTTTTGGTTTCCTTTTTCCTTTTTTAATTATTTTGCTTTTGTTTTTTATTGGATAAAATTTATAAAAAAAAATCAATTGAGATAGAAATGACAAAATAGCTCATATCTTATATGTTTCTCAATCTAATTGGTGCACTTTCTTTTAATTTGAGATAATAGAGTTAAGTTTTTTTTTTTTTTTTAAATTGAACTTGGTTAAGAACAAGGTTTTTGATGTTACTTCTTGAACGTGGTATAATATAAAATATTTATTTTATTAATTATTTAATTCTTATTATGTATTTACAAAAATGTTATTTAATATTTTAATTTAATAAATTCATGTGGCACCTCATTCAAATTTTTTTTATTTTTCAAAATTGTTTTATTAGATAAATTTTGTAAAGAAAAAGTCAATAAATGTAGGGATGATAAAACAACATATATCCTATGGGTTTTAATTTATCACAATCCAATTGGTACAATTTTTTTTTTTTTAAATAAGGATTGAGTTAAATATTACCTTTCTGAACAATTTGAATCAAGTTGAGAATGAGTTTGTAATACTCTCCCTCAACCCTCGTAGGGATATATAAAAGAATATATTTTATTATTTATTTAATTTATATTTATATATATTTGTATTATATAATAAAATATTATGTAATAGTTTAATTTAATAAAAAACTACCTTTATACATAACAAAATTATAATTTATATTAATAAATAAATAAATTTATATTTGTCTATACGTCATCATTCATTAAAACTTAATATAAAAATTTTACTTCTTTCATATTTAAAGCATAATTTAAAAAATAAAAAATAATCTCACAAAGCACTAGTCTAATTCTAATTTGTTTAAAATTTTTAAAATAATCTAAAGATTTTTTTTTCAATATATTAATTGAGTTTATTTGAGTTACAAATGGATTTGTTCTATGCACGTAGCAATAGTGTCAAGGGATAAATGGCTGTCGATTTTTTTTCATTGTTTTCTCGTCAATTAAACAACAAATAAAGGCCAACGTTATTAATTGATACAATCTAGACCCATCCGAATTATTTTTTTCTAAAAAACTAAAAATATGATATTTTTATTTAATCTTTAGTATTTTATTTTTATTAAGTTTAAAATATGAATAATTTAACATATTTTTTAATATTTACATTATAATATTATATATGTATTTATTATTTATATAATATATTATATATAATTAAAAATGGGCATAATTGGATTCAGATCTCGAATTTTGGAATTAAAGTCCAAGTCATTTTTTTACTTTAACACATTTAACAAGTTTAATATCAAGTAAGCTTTCAGCTTTATATGAATAATTTGTCAAAACTAGAGACGTTGGCCTTGCATAACAATAATTTGAAAGGGCCATTCCTGCAGCAGTTGGAAATCTTTCAAACTTGAAATGGTTAATTTTGCATAATAATTACCTTTCAGGTTGCAATTGCATACCTTTCTCAATTTTTAATATCTTTATTCATTGTAGAATGTTGATTTTAGAACTAATAATTTCATTACAGGTCATCTCTCGTCGGGAATATTTGATCACCTTCCTAAATTACGAGCACTAAGTTTGACATGGAACCAGATTTCCGGTAGAATTCCTAATAGTTTATTCAAATGCAAAGAATTGGTGTATTTATCCTTGCATAACAATTCTTTGGAGGGAAGTTTGCCCATAGAGATCGAAAATTTGATTATGCTCAACAAATTGTCTCTCTACAGGAACAACCTCGAAGGTACAGTGAACATGTGTCTGTTCCTTTTTTTTTTTTTTTAAGGACATCTCTGAAATACTAATAAGAAACTTACCTTATCACAGGTTTCATTCCTTCCTCAATCTTTAATCTTTCTTCGTTGCAAGCAATTTCACTCGGATTAAACAAGCTCTCCAGTCATCTCTCACCAGATATGTTTGATCACCTTCCTCGATTACTATATCTTAATATGATTGGGAGTCAACTTTCTGGAAGAATTTCAACAAGTTTATTCAAGTGCAAAGAGTTAGAATATCTATACTTGTCTTCTAATCAATTGGTGGGGAATATGCCTTCAGAAATTGGGAATTTTACTTGGCTTAAACATTTGTTCCTCGACCAGAACAAATTTGAAGGTAAGCTCAAGGTATATTTTGGTGCGCCTGAGATATATAGTGAACATCACATAAGATTATATACGTGATTAATTGAAAATTTATATTCACTAATATCATCTTTACATTTTTTGTCTTAATTTCAATTTCATGTCGTAATTTTATATATCAAACTAAATGTCTTATACATTTGGTCATTTTATCTGAAATTTTCAGCCTTTATATATTTGAAAGTATGTAGTACTCTCTCACTTTTACATTTACCTTTTTTAAAAACTTACATTTCCTTCTTTTTTTTTATGTTTCATATATTATAATTTTTAATAATTTTTTTAAAAGACGCTATGATAATAATGGTAAGCTTTCAGGTTCCATCCCTTCATCACTCTTCAACATTTCTTCATTGCAAGTAATCGAACTTAAATTCAACAAGCTTTCAGTAGGTCATCTCTCATCGGATATATTTGATCACCTTCCTAATTTACGATGGCTTGATTTGAGTGGGAGTCAAATTTCTAGAAGAATTCCAACAAGTTTGTTCAAATGCAAAAAGTTAGAACGTACATACCTGGCTTATAATCAATTGGAGGGGACTGTGCCTTTAGAAGTCGCCAATTTGACTTCACTTAAGGTATTGGATATCGACAGGAACAACTTGAACGGTAAGCTTTTTTTTTTTTTTTTGGTAATTGAATTTGTCAAAAATTTAATCTTAATTATTAGATCCCATCCACTTCTGCTTTGAACATAGTTTTACCCTTGGAGTATTCTCAACCTAACAAATATTTATATGGATCATCTTAATCTCTTCTAATCCACTTACAAATATTCAAACATATATATATATATATATATCCATAAAGACTTTCTCAATCTTCTCTAATCCAATAGAATGTCTACCTAATAAAACCCTACAAGTTTCTTACATTTTTTTCTCATATTTAATCTTATAAAAATTGACATTTTTTATAAGCATACAAATTTATCTATCAAGAATTTCTTTTCACTTAAAATTTTTCTTTTACAAGTCTTATTATTCATCAAACAATATCTAATCAATCTAAAAAAAATCTTAAACAAATCTCTTATGGGATTCGAGTTAGTCACAACAATTTTCATATTGACTCAAATTTTATCAAATCATTAATCTTCATGCTAGACATATTTGACTCTAACTACAATGTAATTCTCGTAATCATCTTCCTTGTATATTTTCACGCTTCTCACAAATCAATCTATCAAAATACGAACTCAAATTTTTTTATTAAATCGAGCCCTTCTGGACTTACCTCTTCCTATGTCTCAAACCTTTGTTCTAATATCAATTATTAGGTATATCCATGAATGAGAGAAAAGATCTACTAGTTGTAGAGAATTACAAATATATAATCATATTAATCAATACTCATAATCAATGTTCACGGACCCTTTCATTTTCTTATAATTCTATGAAATATTTTCAATCCAAATAATTGTATACCCATATGGCTTACTATACCTATGTGGACGCTTTTATTTTTTTCTAATCTTATGAAGTATTTTCAACTCAAACAAGTATGTTCATAAGGATCTTCTCAATCTATTCTATTCCTATAGGGTATTTATAGAATATAACTCTAAAATTCTTTTACATATTTTTTTCATACCTAATCCTATAGAGGTTCCCATTATTTATAAACATAAATTTTCGGTTATCAATAATCCCTTTCCACTTAAAATTTTTCTCCTACAAATCTTTTTTGTCCCTCTAACAATGTCTAATTAATCTAAAAAAGAGTCTTAAATACATTTCTTATAGAATTTTGAGTCAATCCTAATAATATTCTACCACGGGATCACATAATTGTTGGTGTCTTCTTTTTTCTTATACGAGTTTTTTTTTTATGACCTAACGCCATCTTTCTTTTCTTTTTCTTTTTGAACATCGAAAAAGTTTCTTACTTATGTTTATGTTATGTTATATATTTGGAAATCATTTTTCATGATTTTTTTTTTTACTTTTGAAATTAAAATCATATATATACTAACTATAAAAAAAATTAAAATTTTAATATAAAACACAATAAACTCAAAACTCTTTCTTTTAGTTTTTGTGGAAGTCATATAGAGACAAAGAATTTGGGAGAATCGGATAGAGACAGATGGAGTGATTACTTTTTTCATAGTGCGCTCCAATATTGTTACGTACGTACCAATAGAATTTTCTAATTCAACTTATGGTTGTCCGATTAATAGTGCAGCCACGCACTTAGACATGGCATGATTTTGTGGGGTAAATGGTTGACATATGCATTTTATTTGCATGCGTTACATCACAAACATAGTTTATTTGCTTTGTTTTTTTAATTTCATATAATCTTCAAACTCCTAACCTAGATTTATTCCTTATTTTCTCCCAGTACGCTTTCCAACTGCACCACTTTCATTGCATTGATTATGCGTTTCAGAGAATAATTTAGTTGGGGAAATGCCTTCCTCAATTTGCAACTTGAGTTCCCTTCTAGATCTCAATTTGTTTAAGAATAATTTGGGTGGAACTATTCCAAAATGTATTGGAAACTTGAGCTCTCTCTTATACATTGATATACAAAAGAATAATTTTCATGGTAAATTACCTGAAAATTTTGCTAAAGGTTGTCCTTTGAGAGGTTTTGAGATCAACAACAACCGATTAGAAGGATCACTACCACGATCTTTGGGTAATTGCAAAGACTTGAAACTTCTTGATGTGGAAAGAACAATTTAAGTGACACTTTTCCAAATTGGTTAGGAAACTTGGATCAGCTACAAGTTCTTGTCTTGAGATCGAATAGATTTTATGGTCTAGATAACTCCAAAGTTACATCTTCCTTCACTCATTTACGTGTCATTGATCTTTCTCACAATCACTTCAGTGGATATTTACCGACGAAATTTTTTGAAAATTTGCATGCCATAAGGGAAGGCTATGAAAAGAAAGTTAAGCCAGAGTACATGATCGATGCATCGGCTGACGGAATTGCTTATCATATTCAAAGTGTATCTTTTACAGCAAAAGGGTTGGAAACAGAATTTCAGGAAATATTAACCACTTGGACGGTGATCGACTTTTCGAACAATCAATTCATGGGGCAAATTCCTAAGGCAATTGGTGAACTTCATTCACTAGTAGTCCTCAACCTGTCTCACAATAGTTTAACAGGTCCTATCCCACCATCTTTAGGCGATTTGTCAGAGCTTGAATCATTGGATCTCTCAGCGAATAAGCTCGAAGGAGAAATTCCAGCACAGTTAAAAATCTTTTATTTTTAGAGATGCTAAACCTTTCTCATAATTATCTTGTCGGACCTATTCCTCAAGGCAATCAATTTGATACTTTTGAAAATGATTCTTACAATGGGAATTTGGGTTTATGTGGATTCCCATTGTCAAAGAGTTGCAGTAATGATGGGAAATTGAAGCCAATACCGAAAACAAGAGCATTTAGTTGGAAATTTGCAATGCTGATGGGTTATGGATGTGGATTGGTGTTCGGATTGAGCATGGGATACATTGTATTCACAACTGGAAAACCACCTTTGATGACTCTAAATTCATCATCAGAAAAATGTGTAGCACATATTAAAGAAGATCAAATCATAATGGATTTTCCTTGAGCAAACATCCCGGAAAGGCACGGTTTGAACTGTTTTCCTCACGCAAAATTATCAAAGAATATTGAAATAGAAAAACCTTTCACTGCTTTAGACACAAGAACTTAATTTTTGGCCAGTGAGAGTACCACAGAATTTCATCATGTTTATGCTACTGCGTTTACCAGATAAAAGGCTTCAGGTTTCGAGCAATACTAGAACTTTAAGCTTTTATCATCTAAAACTAACAGTAATACCATAGAATTATTCATGTTTATCATTATCTACAGGATAGATTTTGTATTTTGTTTGACAGGGACGAATTTAGGGGCGGACAAAGGCCTGACCTCCTTAATTAAAGAAATCATGGTTATAGTCTTTATTACAATGTTTACATACCTTTAGAAAGTAAGAAAAGTTAAATGCGAAATCAATTTTGTAATAAATATTATAGTTATTTAACTTTCTTAAATTTTTTTTTCTGTTGTTAAAATATAGAAAGAAAATTATTAACACTATAATTTTTGTCTATGTATCTATTTGATTGATTCAAAATTAAAATAGAAAGAATTAAGTTAATAATGAATGAGGTAAGAATTAATAACGTTACCATATCAAATTACAAATTTTACAGTAGGTCAAGTTAAAAATTGTATGGGGAACCAAAACATAATTTCACCTTACTTATTTTCAAGAGAGAATAATATATTACAAGGATTTTCAAAAACTTAAGGGAAGCGAAGATATATATATATATATATATATATAGAGAGAGAGAGAGAGTTAAATTATCCTTCTTGTCATAATGAATAGATCCGTGGACTTACCACTAGATATGAATTAGAAAAGTCATCACCAATCTTTTTTATTTAGGTGTGATTGGCCACCTGATATAGATTATGATCTGCGAAAACAAATATTAGGTTTGATAGTCGGTTATGCATGTGAAAGGTTATTATACCCCCACATGCCCATCAAATGGACGGTACCAATTTGATTTCAAATTATCCAAGCTTTGATCGTATTTATAATTTATCGAATTAATTTAATATTGAAAATCAATCTTAAAATTGTCCCAATAGTTTGGTTGCGATTTAAGATAATTTTTTCATCTCAAAAGTATTCATAGATATTAGTATCCCATTCTGAAGAGGCTCTGTCGTCAGATTTATTAACATATTTTTATTCAAAAAAATTAGTAAAGTTTCCAATAGTTTGATAGGACTTCAAAATAATCCTCCAATAGTTTAGAGGATAAAAATTATTTTTATTTTTTTACTATCATTTTTTTTTGAATAACTGATTTATGAAATCTTTCAATAGTTTGGTGGATTCCATTTTTAAAAATTAAACCTATGAAAATTCACCAATAGTTTGATGAGATTTATGAATTTATTTTGTAAGGATTTAAAAAAGATTTTTTTACTATTATTGAAAGGATTTTTTTTATAAAAAAATTTTGGAAACTTTATTTGAAAAGATTTTTTTTAGGATCATTTTTCCTTTTTTTAAAAAAAATTCATTTACTTTTAGAAATAAAATGGCAGAAATAAAATTTCTTAAAAATAAAACCAAAAATAAAATAAAATGAGTTTAAAATAAAATAAATTAAATTAAATTAAAATTAAAATTAAAATTAAAAAAGAAAAACTTGCGATTAGGTCTAGTCGAAGTGGGTCTATGTGTAGATCTTAACTCAAGTTCACATGGATCCTAAGTTGTCCAAAATGACGTCATTCCAGGCTATTATATAAGCCATCTTTCGCATTTCAAGCCTTAGAAGCTCTCTGTCTTTTCTCTCTCTAAACCATAAACTCTCTCTCTCATCTCTCTAGAAATGCTTTAAGAAACTCACCGAAAACTTCAACTGAGAATCAAGAATTTCATCGGTTTTCTAGAAAAGTCACTAGTAAATTCAATCAAAAATTGAAAAACCCATCGATTTCTAAAAAACTAGTCGAAAAATGGACAAAAAATTCAACCGATCATCGAAAAATTCATTTGAAAACTCATATCCCATTGAAAAATTCATCAAAAAATTTAAATATTCATAATAAAATTCATGTTTAAAAAAAAACTCAGATTTTTCAAACTTTTCCAGATTTCACCCAAATTTGCCCAGATCGCTTCAAAAATCCCCTATAAACTTAGATCTAATCCCAGAAACCTAAATCTAAGCCCAGAATCTTCAAACCAAACCCAAAATTCCTAAATCAATCCCAAAATCCCAAAAACTAGAATTCCAGAAACCCTTATTGCCCAAAAATATTTTAGAAAACCAATTCCCAAAATAAATCAACCGTTTCCCACCAGATTCATTCTATGTCTATTCCTTTGATCTTTAGTTCAACTTATAGGCAACCTTAGCATAAATTTAAGAAATGGACAGAATCAATCCAAGCTTAAATCCTAGAATTTGATTCTGCCCAAGCCTTAGTTTAGGAATTTAACTTTTGGCCCCTATTGAATTTGGTCAGTTATTCAAGCTCGATTCATCATTAAAAATATGAGATTTTGACTTACCTGATTCAATTTCTATTTTCATAATTCTCGTCAAATATCAAAAAAAGAAGGAAGGAAAAAAATGAAAAATAAAAAATAGTGACGATAAATAATAATAATAATAATAATAATAATAATAATAATAATACTATACAATATGATAATAACAAAAATAATGAAAAATGGTTCAATTGACTCCGAACATGGTTCAATTGATCCCAGATACAAATGGGTGTCTACTGCTACCTTTTTTTATACGTTCCTATCAGATAGGGATGGTGCAAAGACCTAGACACCTACTTTGTTCCAACCTAAGAGTCAAATCAACGAGCGTAAGTGATCGAGATGAAATCACAGTAAACAATGAAGCGACCAAGACAGAGTCAAGGTTAAAAATAAAAGATTAGGATAAAATCACGAGTCATAAAAATGATTTGGACTGAGCCAAGATTGAATGACCAGAATGAAATCATAAGTAAAAAATAAAATGACCAAGACCGAGTCGAGGTCAAAAATAAATGATCGAGATAAAACCACGAGTCATAAGAAATGATTTGGACTGAGCCAAGATCAAGTGACTATGATGAAACCACGAGTCAAAAATGAAGTGACTAGGACCAAGTCGAGGTTGAAAATAAATGACCAAGATGAAACCACGAGTCATAAAAAATGATTTCGACTGAATCAAGATCAGATGATTGGGACAAAATCACGAGTCAAAAATGAAGTAATCAGGATCAAGTCAAGGTAAAAAATAAACGACTGGGATGAAATCACGAGTTAAGAAGTGACCAAGGTCAAGTCAAGATCGAAGATGAATAACCGAGATGAAATCATGAGTCATAAAGAATGATCTAGACGGAGCCAAGATCAGGTGACCGAAACAAAACCACGAGTCATAAGGAATGATCTGGACTGAGCTAAGATCGGGTGATCAGGATAAAACTACGAATCAGAAGGAAGTGACCAGGATTAAGTCGAGGTAAAAAATAATAACTGGGATGAGATCACGAGTCATAAAAAATGATCTAAACTGAACCAAGATCAGGTGATCGGGATAAAACCATGAGTCAAAATGACACGATCAAGATTAAGTCGAGGTCAAAATTAAATGATCAGAATGAAATCAGGAATCACATGAAATGATCTGGACTAAGCCAAGATTAAGTGATTAGGATAAAATCACAAGTTAAAATGAAATGATTAAGACCGAGTCAAGGTCTAAAATAAATGACCAGGACAAAACCATGAGTCAAAAAGTGACCAAGACCGAATCAAGGTCGAAGATGAATGACCAAGATGAAATCATGAGTCATAACAACTGATTTGGATAGAGGTAAGATCGGGTGACTGGGATAAAACCATGAGTCATAAGGAATGATCTGAACTGAACCAAGATCGAGTGATCGAGACAAAATTGTGAATAAAAAAGAAGTGACAAAAACTAAGTCTAGGTAAAAAATAAATGATCGGGATAAAATCACAAGTCATAAGAAATGATCTAGACTAAGCCAAGATTAGGTGATTGGGACAAAACCACGAGTCAAAATGAAATGACCAAGATCGAGTCAAGGCAGAAATAAACGACTGGGATAAAACCACAAATCGTATAAAATGATCTAGATTGAGCCAAGATCAAGTGACCAAGACGAAAACATAAGTCAAAATGAAGCGACCAAAACTAAGTCACGGTCGAAGATAAATGATCAGGACAAAATCATAAATCATATGAAATGATCTGGACTGAGCCAAAGTCAAGTAACCAGGACAAAACCACGAGTTAAAATGAAGTGACCAAGATCGAGTCGAGGTCAAAGATAAATGACCAGGACAAAATCATGAATCATAAGAAATGATATATCTTGAGCCAAGATTGAAATGAGTGATAATGATATTGCAACCATGCATGTCCTATCTAGGATGCAAATATAATGTATGTAGTGTTGATGTCATGAAATTTTTATTATGGTGACAAGGTTCTCAAGATACCACTAGTCTTTCTTAGCTTTTGAATATTAATAGTCTCAAAGTAAATTTTGTTAGCTGATCCATGTCATTCTTTTCATCTGGTCATAACTTGTAGGTTATGCCAACCAATCTATCATTGAATCCATCATTAGGTCACATTGTTTACCCTATTGTAAATCATTTTCATATGCTTTTTTCATTCATCTCATC